ATCCGTGTACATGAGGATTCGCTACCCAGTGCGAATCTCAGTGCGGATCCAGAACAAAAAAGCGTCGGTGTATAGAGTTCGGCTCGTTGCTCGTGTCGCCGATTCCAGCTCGATGCTGCCCCCCCTGAGCTGCCCCCCCCCGCCCCCTTAACGGTCCCCCTCGGCCCTCATGGCCGCGCGGCGGCCTAGATTCGAGGGTAACATTCGTTAGGTAACACATCACGGGAGTTCTGCCCGTCCTGGATGGACTGCATATCGGCGAGTAGCCTCCACTAGCGCTCAATCGCGCTCCAGAGCATCCAACTGCGCCCAGTAGCGCTGACTACAGCGCTCAAAGGGCGCCAATTGGCGTCCAAGAGCGCCCAACAGCGCCAGGTGAGGGCGACGCATCCTGTCCGCTTGGCGTGGGATTGGGCGCGCTAGTCGAGGCTTCCTAGATGGGGGTCCGCGTAGATGGGGTCGGAGGATCTCCCCGCATCGCCGATGTATCGACGATGCAGCTCGATGCGGAAATCAGATACTCCTCCACGCCGACGTCTGCCGATACTCCGCCGACACTCGCGAGCATAGGCGATGCGGCGCGATCCTTCGACTCATACTCGGACCCCATCAGGAGGCCTCTATAGCCTTTAAGCGGCATGCCCTCCTCATACGGAATGTTCAACATCGTCACAAATAGCCGGGGGGGGGCCGACATCACGACTGTGGCTTGACCGTCCTGGGGATTTTTTTTGCGAGCATGCTTCATGGCTCCTCCCACGCCCGCCTGAAGGAGGACATGCCCGACCTAAGTCCAGCCAGGGGGCGCCCAAGGGGTAGTGTGGTGTACAGTTCTTCCCCGGTTTTCCCCGGAAAGCAGCGGAACACGTATTCGCCAGGATCCCGTGTACATGAGGATCCGCTACCCTGTGCGAATCTCAGTGCGGATCCAGAACAAAAAAGCGTCGGTGTATAGAGTTCGGCTCGTTGCTCGTGTCGCCGATTCCAGCTCGATGCTGCCCCCCCTGAGCTGCCCCCCCCCGCCCCCTTAACGTTCCCCCTCGGCCCTCATGGCCGCGCGGCGGCCTAGATTCGAGGGTAACATTCGTTGGGTAACACATCACGGGAGTTCTGCCCGTCCTGGATGGACTGCATATCGGCGAGTAGCCTCCACTAGCGCTCAATCGCGCTCCAGAGCATCCAACTGCGCCCAGTAGCGCTGACTACAGCGCTCAAAGGGCGCCAATTGGCGTCCAAGAGCGCCCAACAGCGCCAGGTGAGGGCGACGCATCCTGTCCGCTTGGCGTGGGATTGGGCGCGCTAGTCGAGGCTTCCTAGATGGGGGTCCGCGTAGATGGGGTCGGAGGATCTCCCCGCATCGCCGATGTATCGACGATGCAGCTCGATGCGGAATCAGATACTCTCCACGCCGACGTCGCCGATACGTCGCCGACCTCGGCGATGCATAGGCGATGCGGCGCGATCCTTCGACCTCATACTCGGACCCCATCAGGGAGGCCTCTAGCTTTAAGTCGGGCATGCCCCTCCACATACGGAATGTTCAACAGTCGTCAACAAATAGCCGGGGGGGGCCGACATCTCGACTGTGGCTGACCGTCTGGGATTTTTTTTTGCGAGCATGCTTCATGGCTCCTCCCACGCCCGCCTGAAGGAGGACATGCCCGACCTAAGTCCAGCCAGGGGGCGCCCAAGGGGTAGTGTGGTGTACAGTTCTTCCCCGGTTTTCCCCGGAAAGCAGCGGAACACGTATTCGCCAGGATCCCGTGTACATGAGGATCCGCTACCCTGTGCGAATCTCAGTGCGGATCCAGAACAAAAAAGCGTCGGTGTATAGAGTTCGGCTCGTTGCTCGTGTCGCCGATTCCAGCTCGATGCTGCCCCCCCTGAGCTGCCCCCCCCCGCCCCCTTAACGTTCCCCCTCGGCCCTCATGGCCGCGCGGCGGCCTAGATTCGAGGGTAACATTCGTTAGGTAACACATCACGGGAGTTTCTGCCCGTCCTGGATGGACTGCATATCGGCGAGTAGCCTCCACTAGCGCTCAATCGCGCTCCAGAGCATCCAACTGCGCCCAGTAGCGCTGACTACAGCGCTCAAAGGGCGCCAATTGGCGTCCAAGAGCGCCCAACAGCGCCAGGTGAGGGCGACGCATCCTGTCCGCTTGGCGTGGGATTGGGCGCGCTAGTCGAGGCTTCCTAGATGGGGGTCCGCGTAGATGGGGTCGGAGGATCTCCCCGCATCGCCGATGTATCGACGATGCAGCTCGATGCGGAATCAGATACTCTCCACGCCGACGTCGCCGATACGTCGCCGACCTCGGCGATGCATAGGCGATGCGGCGCGATCCTTCGACCTCATACTCGGACCCCATCAGGGAGGCCTCTAGCTTTAAGTCGGGCATGCCCCTCCACATACGGAATGTTCAACAGTCGTCAACAAATAGCCGGGGGGGGCCGACATCTCGACTGTGGCTGACCGTCTGGGATTTTTTTTTGCGAGCATGCTTCATGGCTCCTCCCACGCCCGCCTGAAGGAGGACATGCCCGACCTAAGTCCAGCCAGGGGGCGCCCAAGGGGTAGTGTGGTGTACAGTTCTTCCCCGGTTTTCCCCGGAAAGCAGCGGAACACGTATTCGCCAGGATCCCGTGTACATGAGGATCCGCTACCCTGTGCGAATCTCAGTGCGGATCCAGAACAAAAAAGCGTCGGTGTATAGAGTTCGGCTCGTTGCTCGTGTCGCCGATTCCAGCTCCTAGCCAGGGGGCGCCAACAGCCAGGGGGGCGCCCAAGGGGGGACGGCCCCAGAGCTCCCGCCGCTCTCCAGCACCTCGGCGCCAACCCGGGCCCCGCCGGTGCTCGGCGCTCGGCGCTCGGGCGCTCGGTCCACGGCGCTCCGCGCGGGGGGGCGGAGAGGCGCACGGCGCGCGTGGGCGACGGGCGGAGGGGAAGGCGGAGGGGGAGGAGGACGGAGGGAGGGGGGGGGGGGGAGGGAGGAGAGAGGGAGGAGGGGGGAGGGGGGAGGGGGAGGAGGGAGGAGGGGGAAGGAGGAGGGAGGATGGGGGAGGAGAAGAGGGAGGGAGGAGGGGAGGGGCAGGAGGGAAGGAGAGGGGAGGAAGGAGGGGGGAAGGCGAGGAGGGAGGAGGAGACAGGAGAGGGGAGGAGGGAGGAGGGGAGAAGGCGAAGGGAGCCGCCCCCCCCCCCCAACGTTCCCCCTCGGCCCTCGTGGCCGTGCGGCGGCCGAGGCCCGAGGGCAGCACTTGTGAGGTGTAGCGCCTCGCCAGTGCTGCCGCCCGTCCTGGGTCGAAGGCATGTCGGCGAGCAGCGCCCCAGCAGCGCCCCCAGAGCGCCCAATGTCTCCCAAGGGCGCCCAATGGCGCCCAACAGCGCGCAATAGCGCTCAACAGCGCCCCAAGAACGCCCGATGGCGCCCAACCGCGCGCAATGGCGCACCGTGGCGCCCAATGGTGTGCAATAGCGCTCAAGAGCGCCTATTAGCGCTCAACAGCGCCCAATAGCGCCTGATAGCGCTCAACAGCGCCCAATAGCGCCCAACAGCGCCCAATAGTGCCTAACCGCGCGCAATGGCGCCCAATGGCGGCCAATGGCGCCCAATAGCGCCCAATAGCTTCTAGTAGCGCCTGATACAGTTCTTAGCCGTGTAGCGCACGGCGGGACGCCAAGCTTTCAAAAAACAAGTTGCTCGGAGCTGCATTTGGTCGGAGTTGCATCTGGTCTGGCTGGTCTGGCTGGTTTGGCTGGTCTGGCTGGTCTGGTTTGAGCCCAGTGCTGAAGCTTTAGCTTAGGATCTGGGCGAGAGTGGTTTAGGGGAGGTCCAGGGAGGCAGCGCCGCGGACGACCACCGAAAAACAGTTTTTTTCAGGATTGCAGTTTTTTTTTGCATTGCAGTTTTTTTTGCATTGCAGTCTGGCTGGTCTGGCTGGTCTGGTTTGAGCCCAGTGCTGAAGCTTTAGCTTAGGATCTGGGCGAGAGTGGTTTAGGGGAGGTCCAGGGAGGCAGCGCCGGGGACGACCACCGAAAAACGTTTGTTTTGCATTGCAGCTTTTTTTGCATTGCAGTTTTTTTGCATTGCAGTCTGGCTGGTCTGGCTGGTCTGGTTTGAGCCCAGTGCTGAAGCTTTAGCTTAGGATCTGGGCGAGAGTGGTTTAGGGGAGATCCAGGGAGGCAGCGCCGGGGACGACCACCCATGTATTTCAAGCCACCCTTTCGCCCCCAAAAGGTAGCTTGAAATACCAGCTATTTTTTTGGCCGTTCCGTAATGGGCGACGACGACGACGGCGACAGCGACGACGACCGACGACGACGACGACGACCGACGACGACGGCGACGACGACTCACATCGCATAGCTTGCATAATACATCCTATACCACATAGATTCCACCGCGTAGCTCAAACAACATAGCATATACCACATAGGTTGCACCTCCATGTTGCAGCAACTTGCTGTTTGGGGCCCGCGACGGCCGACATATTCCAAATTCGCTTCTTGCTTTCGCTCTCACACCCCTTTTGGAAAAAAACACCCATGTATTTCAAGCCACCTTTTCGCCCCCAAAAGGTGCCTTGAATTACCAGCCATTTTTTGGCCGATCCGCGGGCGAGAAATTAATTGGCGACGACGCCCGGCGACGGCGACGACGACGACGACGACGACCGACGACCGACGACGACGACGACGACCGACGACGACGGAAAGGGGATGGCGACGGAGGGGACATCAGCAGCCATATCAGTTCTTATGCCCCACAGCAAAGTAAGGCGCTGGGGCATAAGAACTTTGCGCCTCGAGCGGCTTAGAATAGCGCCCAATAGCGCTTCATAGCGCCCAACAGTGTTCAGCAGCGCTCAACAGCACCCAGTAGCGCCCACTAGCGCGCCATGGCGCCCACCAGCGCCCACAAAGCGCAAGGGCAGCACGCGGCACCTCCCTGCGCTCCAGAGGCCCCTCGACGCCCCCCCGCGCGGCCGCCGCGCCCCGTAAGGACTCCGACTGGGACGACGAGGACGCCGGCGGCGCCGCGAGCGCCGCCCCCGACGCCAGTGCGGCCTGCGCCGTGCGGGCCGCCGCGCCAGGGGGGGGGGGCGGCGAGGGGCGAGGGCGAGCACGACGACGACGACGACGGCGACGACGCCGACGACGACGGCGACGGCGCCGACGACGACGGCGACGACGGCGACGACGGCGACGACGGCGGCGGCGGCGGCGGCGACGACGACCACGACGACTACGACGGCGGCGACCACGACGAAGACGACGACGACGGCGACGACGACGGCGACGGTGAAAATGACCACGACGACGATGCCGACGACGACGGCGGCGGCGACGGCGACGACGACGACGCCGACGACGACGATGCCGACGACGGCGACGGCGACGGCGACGGCGACGGCGACGGCGACGGCGACAGCGACGGCGACGGCGACGGCGACGGCGGCGGCGACGGCGACGACGACGACGGCGACGGCGACGGCGGTCGCGACGGCGACGGCGACGGCGATGGCGACGGCGACGACGACGACGATCATGGTGGTGGCAGCGGCGGCAAAGGCGAGGATGGCGGTGGCGGCGGCGAGTGCGGCGGCGACAGGGGCCGCAGCGCCGCCGACAGGGCCTCAGAGGAGGGCGGGTTGAGACAACGGCCGTTGGCCTTCGGGGGGCCCCTCCTTCGCCATGGCTCGGGGGGGAGTCCGTGGAGCGATCTTGAGCTGCCGATGTCTCAACTCGCCCTGCTCCGAAGTGCGGAAGTGGCAACGACCTCCTCTCTCGCTCTTCCTCTCCCGCTCCCTGCCTCTGGCGGGCGTGCGGGCGCCTGGGGGGGGGGGGCTGGTGGCTCACGGGCCCCCCGCCGCGCGCCCGTCGCCTCCGCCCTCGGGGCCCTCGTCCTGCACTCCCCGTCCCCCTTCCCTGCCTGTCGCTTTTGCTGGGGCCGTGCCCTGACGCTGGTCCTCTCAGGTGGGCTGTCGCCTCCCACCTGCTGCCGGCGTCACCGCCGACGTCGGCACAGCCGCCGTCGCGGCCGGCGTTCTCGTCGTCGCCACCGTCGCGGTCGCCGTCGTCGTCGCCGCCGCTGCCGTCGCCGTTGCTGTCGTCGCCGCCTGCGTCGTCGCCGTCGTCGTCTCCGTCGCCGCCGCCGCGGCGGGCGCACCTCGAGCAAGCGCGCCTCGCCCCAGCCAGATCCAAGACGGGCTCTTCGGTGCTGGGGCCGCGAAAGTCAGAGGGGGGGCACAGCCGCCGGCGGTGGCGAGAAGCGGCGACGACTGCGGCGGAGATGGTGGCAAGGGGGGTGGGCGGCGCGCACAGGGGGGCAGTGGGAGGTGGACAGGCTTCTTATAGGGCGGGTGATAATGTGGGGGGGCCCTCATGGAGGGTGAAGAACAAGGCCCTCAAGGACCCTTTCGGGCCCCTTTTGGGCACCTGCTGGTTCCAGAAGTGGCCGTTAAAGGGCCCTTTTAGGGCCTTTTTCTTCCCCCCCCAGTTTGGGCCACCCCCCCCACCAGCACCCGCCCTATCTTAAAAACACCCTTGCTTCTTAGAAGGCGCGGGCCTTGTCGATAGGCAGGCCCGCGCCTTCTAAGAAGCAGCCGTCTTCTGGAAAACCTTCTCCCCCATCCACCTGCAACCCCTTCGCGCCGCCAAGGGGGGAGGGGGGAGGGGGAGGGGGAAGAGTCGTCGAACGAGGGCTTGGGGCGAGCCCGTGCTCCGTGTGAGCGCGGTGCTCGCACAAAGGCTGGGGTCGGCCGCGCGCCGGGGGAGAGCGTCTCGTCGTGGTCGCCAGCTCCGAGCGAATGGCGCATCCCAAGAGCCAGCGAGAGCCAAGCAACCACGTTGAAAGGCGAAGGAGGTCCGAGGACCCCGTGACGGGGAGGGAGGGGGTGGAAGCGGGAGGTGCTTGCACATCCTGTAAACTAACGACCGCAGCGTTCCGATTCTTCCCCACCCAACAAAGTGGGGTTGTTAGGTCTGTCGGAAAGAACCCCCGCTTGCCCATTGCATAACGCGGTCGCCAGAGCCCACAGGATCCTGGGGCCTCTCTGGGTATCCCGCCTCGCGTCCTCGACGAATGACGACACCACTACCGCGGTCGCCAGACCGCAAGCGATCCTGGGAATCCTTGGGTGCCCCGACTCGGGTCTTCGTCGAACGGCGACACCCTGCATACCAGACAGCCCCGCGGGAAGGCATCATGCCGACAAGGCTGAACGACGCATGAACAACGAGGCATGAAAAATCGGCACCCAGAGCACACAGCATAAACAGACACCCGTAGAGTATCAAGCCTATTTGGACAGAGCCGAGCACTTCATGGCGCGTATATCATAACATGTCCATATCGTCGTGTTTCACATCACCCCCGAACGTGACGGGATAACATGTAACATATACTGGCATAGCAGATAACGCCACAACGTAGCAACACATTGTATACCATTGTTACAGCGCACACTATTGCACATTATGTATTATAACTTACATGTCCACTTAGTTTCATTACAGACCACATGTGCTGATTTATTGGTAGCGCTTCGGTCACGAATCGAATTATGGATGCCATTATATAACAGGTTTTTCCAGATAAAAGCATACTGTAACGTAGCAGGTCACATCATTATATGCCATGTTATACCATATTAAGTCATCCGACATCGCGGATACTACCGCAGTGCATCGTAACATGGCATAGGTTGCGTGCTCCTTTGCTGGCACCATTACAGCAACGGAAATATGTCCGACACCCTAAAGGCATCTTGTGACCGCGACATGCCATACTTCAATATTGGATGGACGAATATTCCATACCATCATACCATAGTCCAACATACCAGGACACAGCTGAGCACCATATACCATACAAGAACAGACCATACCTGGACATATCATTACACAGTATAAACCTTGTGGCATCATGACACTTCGTACTATGACATGTCGGAGTATAACAGGGTATCATATACCAGAACACAGTATATACACTATTTGGTTAATGGTTGTAACCACTACGTCAACGACCATTGTTTCAACAGTATAGGACATGCCTGTTTCCAATGACGCATGTCAACACAACAGCGCACATAATATTTTCACGCAGGACGTAGTCGCGTATACTCTAGCAGCACAACAGAGTAGTACACAGGACACTGCATCATGTCTTAGAACAGTTCGATACGTAACATGCGTGACAACAACCTATCAGAAACTCAACCATTAAACACATAGTGCAGCGTACATGTATTCTATTGCAGTAGTCTGGGCCTGCGAAAATGAAAGTAATCGAGAATGATACCAGAGAAAAAACCCAATCAGAATTTTGGGGGGCTATGGGGCTTTAGGGCTTTAGGGCTATGGGGCTATAGGGTTATAGGGCGATGTGGCCATAGGGATATAGGGCTAGAAGCCTTTGGGGCTATGGGGCTATAGGGCTACAGGGCTATAGGGCTATAGGGCTAAGGGCTATAAGGCGATTCGGGCTATAGGGCTATAGGGCTATACACGGCAATATACGGCTATAGGGCTTTAGGACCATAGGGCTATAGGGCTATAGGGCTATAGGGCTATAGGGCTATAGGGCTATGGGGCTATGGGGCTATTGGGCTATAGGGCTATGGGGCTATGGGGCTATGGGGCTATTGGGCTATTGGGCTATAGGGCTATAGGGCGATTGGGCTATTGGGCTATAGGGATATAGGGCTAGGCACCCCCGGGCACTTCTGGGCACCCCGGGCACCCGGGCACCCCTGGGCACCCGGGCACCCCCGGGCACCCCCGGGCACCCGGGCACCCGGCCCCGGCCACCGAAATCGGCCACACACCTGGGCACCCGGGCACCCCCGGGCACCCGGGCACCCTGCCCCGGCCACCGAAATCGGCCGCTCACCTCACCTCAGCTTTACATCCGCTAGGACCTCTACAGAGGCAAGCTCTGATTGGGGAATAAAATTGAAGTGCAATACCAGAATAATATTGCACTTCCATTGTGGCAGGACAGTCGTTACGTGTGTCAGTATGGATGCCGTTTGGATTACTGTAGAATTTGGTGCCCAGAGTAGTATAGGAGGGAATCCGTGCGAACACAAGGGAACGTAACATACCATACCAATACTGATGAGAGTACATGATTTTTTTGGGTGTCGTCCAGTATTGCAGAGAGATGAACGCAACACATCGTAGCAGGACATAGTTTCAGTCAACAAATTGTTGTCGCTTCGCGAATCCCCACCAGCCCATCCAGAAACGATGCCCAGAGGAATTGCCTCGATCAGAGAAGTGGGCAGCACACAGAGGAAGCCATTATGAGACATCTTGGGATATCTTGAGCCATCTTGGAGGTCATTTTGGGCTCTCCCAGACGCTCTTGGAGTCATCTTAATCCGTGCCCCCCCCCAAGAGGCCTCCATGTGGCTAAAACCTGTGTAGAATCAATGATTAGGCATTCTCGCCGAGGCCTCTTGGAGCATCTTGGGTGCATCTGGGGGGGCTCTTGGGGCCTCTTGGGGGTCTCTTGGGGGCCTCCGGGGGGCCTCTTGGGGGCCTCTTGGGGCCATTTTGGGGCCATCTTGGGACCTCTTGGGGCTTCCTGGGCGCTTCTTGGGGCCATCTTGGAGGGAGTCGATCAAACAAGAGGGGGGGGTGAATTAGCGCCCCCCCTCGGAAGCCCCTAAAATCGCCTCTTGGACCCCTCTTGGAACGCTCTTGGAGTGCTCTTGGGCGCTCTTGGGGCCGTCTTGGGGCTCTTTTGGGGCTCTCTTGGGGCCCTCTTGGGCCATCTTGGAGCCATCTCCAGGCCTCGGATGGCCATCGGAAGCGAAAAGGCGAGAAAGCAAAAATCATTGATTTTCCTTAGGTTTTGGGACGATTTTGGCCTCTTCGGGGCCTCCTTGGGGAGCTGTTTGGCCACTTGGAGTTATCTTGGGGCCGTCTTTGGGCTTCTTGGAACCATCTTAGGAGCCATCGTGAGCGATCTTGCGCTATCTTGAGCCATCTTGGAGCTCATCTTGGGTTCTCTGAGGCGCTCTTGGAGCCGTCTTGGGCCATCTTGGACGC